ATTTTATGAGAGGGGCGTACATCTCACTTGAAATACAGGACTACGGCACGTCTCACTGTGCAAACATACACCAGCTATCGTGGATTTCCATAGAACGAAATTCAATGGGTTTAATTGGATAATCTGGGCGTGAAACAAAGGGAGTTTATTGGCTTATATTGCGTCCTCTCTCCTTTTTTTAAGCTCCATGGTCTGACTTACATAAGAACTTGCCTAATGGGGACGTGCCCCTGAAATGAAAGATAGGTATACATATCGGTAATAAATATGCTCTTATGTAAGTGCCAGAGGTGTTTCTATGGTCAAAATACATATTTTAATAAATCAATATACAATGCAACTGTTGGCTTACATGTACTTCTATTTGAGATGCTCTTCTAATAGAGCAAATACGGTAACTATATGGGTATAGATTTTGCCACTATCCAGGTATAAAAATGGTCACTTTTGAGCACTCATGGGTACATCCCTACCCAGCTATATATCAACTGCCCCCCCCCCCCCCCGCCGACTGGGTAGCCGATCAGGTACATTCTAGTGAGCAGCAAACATACCAAAATTTGTCCCACACTGTTTTTTAACGCAGAGAACTGGTTCAACCTCAGGACAAAGGAAGCGCTTATATATTTTCCGTGCAGAAAAATCAGTTAGGTACTGTCGATTTTGAGCTACGCTCTCACAACACCTCTATTATAATATATATTCAATATATTCACAAATATAAATAAATATGTTCATCGTGAAATCCGAGCAATGTATCTTAGCTCTGAGCATCGTGTTCATTTCATTAGCATGGTCCATACTCACCAGATAGACTCGGGAAAAACATACTGTGTGATGCTCATTTGTTATAGAATATAACCTTCTATATAGGACATCCATCCATACTTACATTCTATAATGACCTCGGGCGCAGAGTCAACTATATTCTGTTACAGGCCACGAGACATTGATAATCGTAACAATGATAGAAATATCAAAGTTGAAATCTCGGCGAGAGATTTAATACACCGACAGGAAGGACTGAAGACGTAACTAAACGTCTCACGCTGACAATATTTTTTCCGTATATTTAAATATACAATAATTGGAATGTGTTGTAAATAAGCTTTATAGATTTGTAAAAAATCGATGTTATTTTGCTGATAGTTTTTTTTATTGAACACACGTGTGAACATTAATTCAAAACTGTAAGATGATAACATTTTTTTTTCTTCATTTTAAAATTGACATTCCTGGATTACAAAAGGAATGTTATAGACACTGTAAAATAGTTTTAAGTTGCTGGAAACATCTATACACGACACAGTTCCTAAAACTGATGTTAATCACAGATCAAACCAACGAAGACGATGCGAACCGGCTTGTTTCGCAAATAAGCGATTGTCGCCGGCTGGGGGCGTGACCCAGGCCAATTGTCACGATACTCAATGGTAGCTTTAAACTTATCTGTTGCTGACGTCGAGGCTCGAGACTACTTTGATGACGTAGGAGCTCACATAGAACACATTATAATGCATCGTCCGTGGCGGCGGCTCGGGACGGGGGTGGCGGTCTCCCCCCCCAAAAAATGTTGGGGAGCGTCGCCCCTCCATAATCCAGCTAAAACATTTTGTGTCAGCAAAATTTGCCTTTCAAAATGCAGGAAATAGCGTTTCAGAGGGTCTAGATTTCAAAATAATAAAATACCTCCCCTCTAATTAAGGTTGGTGAGCAGATCTCGCCCCTCATGCAAAATGTTGTGCCGCCGCCTCTGATCGTGATAGAAATGCGTAACCTTCGTTGTCTCTGTCGGGGGAGGGAGAGTTGTCACCTGTACATGTGGCAGATAGCCGTATAGTAGCGTTTCGTTTACAACCAAGCATTGTTATCGTCAATTCCCGCGCATGCCCAGGTGACGACTCACTCGCTTTATTAATAACAATAATAATAACTTTATTCAATGTTACTCATTCCCTAGGGGGGGGGGGGAGGAAATGGTCACATAATAAGATTAAAGATATTAAACTAAGATACAAACACTAAAATGCTAACAAAGAATTACAAAATAAACTAAGACGAAATCATTAAAACGCTGACAAAATTTGATAATTGTTCTAGAGAAAAGTTCAGGAGAAAAAATACGTTTATTTTATTTTATTGAAACACGTTCCTATGAAGGATTTAAATTGATTATACATAATAAGGACTGGACAATGCAAATCCAGAACGAACAAACAAAAAATCTAATACAAAACAAACTACATACAAAAGCTAAGACAAAAATAACTGAACTTCATATATCAAGAAAACAAATAAATATGTCTATAATACAATCATAATAGACAATCATATCTACTAACAAATAGCAATAATAATAATATTAGTAATAACAAGTTCAGTGGCTTATTAAAGCGGGAGAGTCGTCACCTGCGCATGCGCCAGATGGCCATAGCGTGTCATTGTTTGCAAACGAGCTTCTACCCATGAGTCTTCGCATTTAT